GGGTCTCAACTAAACCTTTTAACTCTTTGCACACACACCCCCTGGGGCATGAGAATTGGCAAACACCTCCTTCCCAGACCTTCCCCTGCAACAGGCTCTGGAGACACAAAAGAGCGCATTTCTCAGCATGGCGGCTTGGTCATTTCCCATGTCACTCACCGGCCTGAGGACGGGAGTGTCTCTGTGGCCGCTCATCTGAAATCAGGGTGCGGAGTCTGTTCCTCTTGGGATGCTCCGAGGGAAGAGCGTCTCTGCCCGCGGGTGAATAGTCCCACAGCCTCAGGCCACCCACTAAGGAAACACAGCCCTCTGAGAGAGAGAGAGAGAGAGAGAGAGCGCGGCCTGTCCCCAAGTCCTTGTAATAGAAACAGAGTGTTCAGGGGGCAAGAGCATGTAACCAGGAGGGATTTCCACAGGGGACATGAGATATCTCTGTGCTGATAACACTTTGGAGACATGTCCCCGTATGAGACTACCACCTGCTTTTCTTCCTCCCCAGTGCGGGAGTGTCTTGGAGAGGCTGCGGGAGAGCCTCGCCGGCCCCTCAAACAGCACCATCTGTGCAGGCATCTTGCTAGTTTCAGCTGGGAAAAGAGTCATTCATTAGCCAGCGCTTATCAGCAAAATTATCGAGAACTGCAAGCGCCCTGGCTCCCTCGGTCTCCCTCGTGACTGGGGCTGTCACCGCTTCCTTTCTCCGTGCATGTCCTAACATCGCGAGTATTCTTAATGGATGCTCTGCCTTGCTCACCGTTCAGCTGTAAGGCAACAAAGCACGGTCAATGGAAATGGTTCTCGAGGATTCCAGCAAGGGCTCGGCTGCTCTCACCCAAGCCGCACTCATGCACGTCCACACAAAACGCAGGCGGTATCAGGAGCGGGCACCCAGGTGCCTTTTAGCCGTCCTTTAAAAATGACCACATTGAGAACGCTGTCGGCTGCGGAGCATCACTGGGTCTCAAAGGGCCCGATAAGACCACGTGGCAGGTCCCAGCACCTGAGTCGGACGGCCTCGCGTGAGCTGTATGTGACCCGTTTCCCTGCGACAGTCTGCATCTGCAGGGACACAAACCGGGTGTCTGGGAGAGGTCACAGCATGGAGTTTCTATAGGCCGAGGAGGAGCACCCTCCCCCGGGCATGGTCACCAACCAGGAAGCGCCCTCTCAGCCTCAAAGCTCAGGGATCTAATGGGCTTCTGAAAGTGACCTTCTGAAGCTCAGTCAACATTGAGCCCTGGTTGTCCCTCCTAATAGCCAGCGTCTGGTGAAGGTGCTGCCGGAGAGACCTGGGAACAAAGGGCCAATTGCTCTCTGCAAGGTGATTCCCCACACCTGGCAGATTCACACCGTGACTGTGTTTCAACGGGCTTGCTCACTTTTGCCTAGATCGAGAGTTTACCGTCCATAATTGGATTGGTGAAAAAAAAAATCCGTGAATTTTGCCTCTGGATATGGCATGCCTGGTTCATCTTTACTTCTCTCAACCAAACTGCGTGGTGGCTTTGATTTTAAATCACCTGGCCCGGGTTTCTGAAATGACGTGCGGGTGTGCGTTGCCACGGACATTGATTTTAAAGTCTAACCATTCGGGATCGTTCCTGTTGCTTTTTAAAGGATGCAGGGTAGAGCTAAAGAGATAGGGAATGAAACAAGCCGTGCCCAGCCAGTGGTTTCTATCATGTAGAAATAGCAGCTTAGTACAAGCTCAGACTAGAAGACAAGAGACTCGCCCAGAGTCCGCCCTTCCCTCTGGGTGGAGAGAGGCCCTGACCACCCTCAGGTGTGCCGTCTGATGGGGCTACAGCTTCTTGCTGTTTCCGTCACACCTGGCAATGCTTTGTGTCTTTCCAGGTTCCACCGTTTGGCATCCCGACTGTAAGCAGTCCACCAAGACGGAGGAAAACCTGCGGGTAAGGAGACTGAGCGGGAATTCCTGGGCTCCTTGGCAGGTCCCACCCTTTCCACAGTCACAGTTTCGTTGTGTCCCCCACCCCCCACCCTGACCCCCGACACACACACACACACACACACACACACAGAGCAAATCAAGCTGTAAATGCCATCCAGCCAGGGCAAGGGATTTCCATCCACCTTACATTTATTGTTGTTATTTTCCTTCCAAATGCTCGCCTAGGACAAAAATAGATCTTGCCTCACTCATCCGGTTTTTAGGAATGCACTCAAGGAAAAATCAAACCACACAGACGTGGGAAATGCATTGGGAATGTCTAAGGTCCACATCTGGTGACCTCCTTGCCAGACAGTTTGAGGGATTTTTGCTTTGTTTTGTTTTCATGAATACTCCGTCCCTCACGCACCTCTCCAACCCTAGCTCCTCACCCTGCTGTCAGCTCTCAGTAGATTTTACCAGCCTCTCAAAGCCAAGTGTGCCAGGGTAGCCGCTGTCTCAAGGCTGTTAGGTTTGTCAAATCACACTTCTCGGGAAACTAGTACGGAACCCAGGCATCTGTACCCTGGGTAGTCTGTGCCTTTTAGGTTCCCAACACAATGCTTTCACCAGTCTCGGGACATCGCAACCTGGGCATCTCTCACGTCTCAGGACTTCTCATCCTGGCTCCCAGAGCACCTCCAAGATGCCCCTGTTTTATCCATCACAGAAGCAGGGAGTCGTATGCTGCCCCAAGGTCACAAGCTGAACCTGCAATCTGCTCAGACAGCTCTTGTTGTTCACCTGGGCTGTGAGATATTGTTCAGTCATCATCAGCCTGGCTCCCAGTCCTCACTGCCTGTGTTCAGCCTGTGTGCTAGTACCTATGGGGGGACCCCAAGCAAACAAACTCACTGCCATTGAGAAGATGCTGACCTACGGTCACCCGAGAGGACAGAGTGGAAATGCCCTTGTGGGTTTCTGAGACTATTCCTATGTATGGGAGTAAAAAGCCTCCTCTTTCTTCCTCAAAGAAACTGGTGGTTTCGAACTGCTGACCTTGCAGATAGCCCCTGAACAAGTTAACAGCACCAGGGCTCCTCGTGTCTAGGATAGTCAGAAAGAATAGCCTGGGTTGATTTGGGAGACCATTTCAGAGTAGGTGGTAGAATTCCTTTGGTCTGCTGCTGTGCCGTGAACAGGTATAAAGAGAGGTTTACGTGTCCTGCCACCATTCCCGACACACCATCGTTGATCAGTGTGACCTTGTCGTGGATAGGTCACTTAGAAAAGGGCGGCTTGGCTTCAGAAAAATGGCCACCTGAGATTCCCCTCTCTGACCTTTGCCTGGTTGCTTTGTCGGAATCGACTCGATGGGAGCAACTTTGGTTTTGGGACTGGCTTCCCACGTTAGGAATTTCAGCTGTTATTTCTCCGTCTTGTCCTGTCTTCTCCTTCTCGAAATGCACAAACTGTAAGCACGGGTGTTACTGTGCCCCCGCCCCCACTCTCCTCTTTCTTCTCAGCTGGCGTCCATAAATCCCATGATGACATTTGCCATTTCCATAGTGTGAAAACAACACATTTCCCTGCTGACTCTCCACAAAAGCGGCTTCTCTTAGAATTCACAAATTATTATTTAAAAGCCACTTTTCTCTGACTCCTCAAGTTTAGACGAGACAAAGGCGAGGGCACCACCCAGCAAAGTGAGGGGGGCTTTGATGAGATTCTCACATGTGCAGCACATGGGCATGCACAGGAGACCACCGACCAGGCAGGTGTACACTGGCAGCCTCGCCCGTGGCTGGGCTCTGGGCTCTGGGCTCTGGGCCTCTGAGGAACAGGCCCTTGGGGAACGGGGAATCCTCCAAATATCAGAACATTCCAGTTAGTGCCAGCGGCCACTTTCCTCATAAGAATGAAGAATTCATAGTGTCAGCTTGGAGGTGCTGCCCAAAAGCCACCCAACTGGCTGGGGACTCCCACACTTTCTGCACTGTCTACTGCTTTTAGATTTTGGGGTAATCATTTTCACTTCCTCTCTGATGGGAGTCTTTTGGGGGACAGAGGAATACTCATGAGCCCAGACCGACTGAACGTGTGTCCCGCCATTCCTCTCCCTGCCCCGCCCCAGAGGGATGCGCAAACGTCCAGATGACGTGGCCAGTAGGATTTTGCATTTGTTTTAAATACAGCTTCAGTATCCTTGATGGCATCTTCATGGACCTTTCTGGATGAGCTAACGAAAAAAAAAAAGAAAAATAGCTAGTGAGATAGATGCTTTCACTCATTCTGGCCAAGGGGAAGAACCGTTTTCTTCCTTTATGTCAAAATTTTCCAGAGAATTCTTAAAAAAAAAATGCACCAAAAAAACCCTTCTAAACTTGGCCTTGAGTGCTTGGCTCCCTCTGAGGAGACGTGGCCTCTGAGGGGAGGAGCTCCGATGTGCTCTGAGTGGGGGGGCACGTGCTGCCACTGGAGGGACTTCAAGGGGGACAGGTTCTGAACAAGAGAAGGAAGGCTTGCACCGTCTTCAGGGCGGGCCTGTGGAGTGTAGGCCCTGAGCCAGGATCCTCGGGCCTCACCCTGGGTGTCACTTGCAGCGCAGTTTCCGTAGCAACTGGACAATATTTGAGGAGTCTGTCAGCACCCCCCTTGAGCAGTCCATGTCCTTGGTATGAGAAAACTCAAGGGGCGTGATCAGCAGCTGGCCTGAAGGCTGTCTCTTGGTCGGCCTCATTAGCCTCTTGTGCTTCCTACATTCTAAGAAGCTCTTGGCCAAAGTCAATGGAAAGGGATCATGGGCATTGGAATGGAGGCAAACACACTGTGACTGGAAGACCCACTAATCGGCCTCCAGTGGGAGCAACACACACACACACACACACACACACACACACACACACACACACACACACACACACCCACCCTACTGGAATGGGACCACCTGGCATGTACTCCTCAAATTAGTGCTCTCTCATTCTGTTTTTATTTTCCTTCGGAGCGCTTCTCAACTGAGGATATGCCTTTGTTCCTCCCCCCCCACCCCCCTTTTCATGTTTCCCGGCAGCCACCAAACTTCCACCGCTCTGCATCCGATTTCTTTTATCCCAAAAGTCTGATCCGTCGCGCAGGCCGCTCTCCGTCTCTGCAGGTTCGGGCCCCAGGGCTTCTGTCACTGCCCCCGCCCACCCCTGCGCTGTCCCCTCACAGCCTGTCCTGCTCCTCTGACCCCCACCCCACCCCCACGGCACGCACCTTGCCTTCTGACTCGGGCTGATGTTTTCCCATAGAGAGTGCCTAACACGCTGCCTTTCTTAGTGCGAGCACCTTAGAAGCTGCTGCTTATTCTGTGCTGCGTTCTCGCGAAGGTCTGAGCCTGAGCTGGATGCTAGAGACCCAGGCCAGGTCGGGGAGGGTGGATGAGGCAGAGAGGAACGTAGCTGGATCATGCTACAGAGACACCAGAGACTTGTCACCAGTGAGACAGAGCAGGACCTTGGGAGGGTCCAGGGAGAAGGGCTCTCAAGGGGCACTTGATGAGGGGGCGTTGGGGAGCTGGGTGAGAGGAGGTGGAAAGGGTTCACCAGGTGGTGAGGACAGCAGACGCAGGGTGCTTGGGAAGAGCAGGCTTGGGTCTGACGCAAGAATGTGGGAGAGAGGCAAGGAAGGAAGGAAGCTCCTGGGAACAAGTGCCACCTCTGTGGGCCTGGTAACTTCTCCCGCACACTCTCCTTTCTCCTGCCTGAGAAACCCAGTGAAGGGGCTCTCCTCATTCCTGCTTTATAGTCGCTTCCCAGAATCCCCCTGCCCAAGAGTAGACGAGCTGAGAACTGGACCCCTTTGCCTTTGTGCACTATACCACAGAATCACAAGAGGGGGGTCCGAATGGAGAAATCTGGGGAGACAAGTGAAGACAGCATTTGGGAGCTGGCCAGTCTGTCAGGGGAGTCACTGATGATGGTCAAGGTAGAGGGCCGACAGCCCACCTGGAGGGGCCTGTGTAAACAGGGAAGGCACCTGCAGGGCTCATGAGATGACCTAGGAGACGGGAGGTGACACCCCTCCCCGCACACACAAGCATGACCTTCCACAGGGGTTTCCATGAAGCCGTGGAAGCCCTGATCTGTTGGATTGCAGATGCCTCCCTCACCCTGCGCCACTTCAGCCTGGATGAACCCCCCTTCTGCCGCTGGGGTGGCAATTCTGGATTTAGAATGGCAACCAGCTGTGGGTCATGGGCCCATGCCCGTGTGTGTTTGTGTCTGTCTGTCTGTCTCTCTCTCTGACATTAGACCAAGTAGGGATTCGTTTGTGATGTCTTTTTATTCAAACGTCACTAGCCCCGAAAAATTACTTGAAGACACTGAGAAGCAAGCAGTGCAGAAGGAGAAGAAACCTGTTTGTGGTCAGTCCCCCGTGTCCTCGTCTGTAGGATCAAGGAGAAATCGAGGCTACCCAGCTTGGAAGCAGCCTAGCCTCACTGGCCTTGGGTCTCTGCCCCAGACCCTGGTGGGGCCTCGCTCGGGCCTGGCGCGC